GGGGCCCTCCATGCCAACGGTTCCCGAATCGGAGGCCCCATCTTCCAGCAGCTCGGCCAATGTCCCCAGCTTCGATGCGGTGGTGGCTGCCGCAAAGGAGACGATCAAGAAAGGATGAAGGGGATTTGGAGCCGTGGGCCCGGCTTGGAATGTATCATAGCTTTCTTTTGCGTTCGGGATGGAGTCCTGGACTACGCCGACTCGGCGCACCGAATTTCCTTTCGAGAAGAAAACAAAGGTGTGAGTGCGTGGTTTCGTTTTCTTGAAACACATGTGAAGCATGAGTTGTTTGAGCTTGCTTTGCCGCTTGGATGGCTTGAGCTTGAGCTTGCTTGTGCCCGAAACCCCTTTGAAACGCACCAAATCACAAACCTTAACTTCAACCCCAACCGAACCACCGCCAGCCTATACAGGAATGGTCTTGGGCCAGGACTGGATGTCATGGCCATCGTGGCCGTCTTGGGCTTCTGCAGCCTCTTGGGTGGTCTAGTGTTTTGGGGGTTCCACATTTTGTTTGTCGAATTTGGAAGGTGTTCCGTTGGAGAAAAGGATCGAAAGGTCTTTAGAGTGAGGCCGCGCAGGAAGGGCTGCAGTGTTAGGATCTTTTGTGGGGACCACTGGGTCCGAGTGCCTAGCTACAAGCAGTTTGTTTTGCATAGGAAGGCCCCAAAACCCCAAACACGTACACGTTGCATGTTGAACATGTTGTTTTGCAAGGCTTGCAGTGTGCTTGGGAGTGTTTGTGCTTGGCTTGGTGTGCTTGATGTTGTTGAAAAGGGCAATGATGAGAGCCCGCCGGCGAGCAGTCCATTAGTGTGTCATCTGCGGATGATGCACAGAGGACTGCCAGTGCCGGGACAAGGGACTGAAGCTGAGCCCTTTGATTTGGAAGCTCCTCGTGGTGGGGAGCCCGGGTCTTCGTCTTCAAGGGTCCCCGAAGGGGTTCCGTCACCGTCAAGTCCCGATTATGAGCCTTCTGAAGTTTCTGAAAGACCCCCCAAGCCTCCAGAGAATCCACCGGAACCACCGGACAGTGGAGAAGAAGGATCTTTTAGGATTCCGTTGTCCTCAACCGCCTTGTATCATCATCGTGCACAAGGCCATTTCCCTTATGATTCCAACTGTGACTCATGCTGTTCGTCGAAGGGTCGTGTTCCCGCGCGTCGCTTGCGTCGTCGTCTTCAAAAGGAGAATCAGACTGTTGGTCTTGATTTTTTCTTTTTCGGCAAGCTAAGAGTCTTGTTGATGACACACCTGGGTTCAAGGTATACTGTCAGTCTGCCTGCACCGAACCTCGAAGATCCACAATTGCTTGCTAACATCAACAGAGTGCTGCGTGAGATGGGACTGGTAGGCAAAGCCGTGACGTTTCGAATGGATCAAGAAGGATCTATTATTGCTTTGGCAGAAAGACTGAGTAGGTCCCGAAACTGCCCCCACAGCGCAACAATTGTTGATGTGGTTCCAGGATATAGGCCACAAGCCAAAGGGTCAATAGAACGACAAGTTGAATCGGTACGCCAAGGCTTCTGGGCTGTGTGGTTGGACTTGGAGCGCCAAATTGCTCTAAAGAAGTTCCCTGGTCAAGATGCAGAGCTGGGAAAGTACCAGCTTCCCTTAGGGGGTCTCTTGTGGCAAGCCTGTGTGTTCTATGTTTCGAGGTGTTACAATCTGTGGTCCTCGAGCCACGGTGACTCCACCACCAGCATTGATTTGCTGCACGAGGAAATAGTTCACCGAACTAGAACGCTTCCCTTTGGTTGTGTGGTTCAGGCAAAAGTTAGCAAGTCGAAGGCGCATCTTGCTAAATACCGGGGAGCGAAAACAGTCAAGGCTGTTTACTTAGGACCCGTGAACGCACGAGGTGGAGGGATCTTCGCGGCCCCTTTTGGTAGTACGGAGATTGACGTATTTCCGACCGGAAGAATCGTTGATGGAGCGTGCGAGGTGGCAACTGTCGAAGGCCTCGCTGTTGCACAGTCTTTGGTTCGTGATGGTAAAGACCCAGAACGGCCTGTCTTGTATGAACCCGAAAGTGTTGATGATGGAAATGGTCCTGAAGATGAAGTCATGGAAGGTGGTGTTGGTCCTTTAGATGAAGAAGACGAAGAGATGATTGCTGACGATACCTATGTTCCCGTAGGTGCCCCGGCGGAAGAAAGTGAGGCAGGGATTCTGCCTGATGAGGGGGAAAACATGGAGGACATGGAGATTGATTGGCTTACGAATCACCTCTTGGAGTCTTTGTACCGAGGACCTGACGTTCGAGCTACCTCACAGGAGGTGGCTGATTCGTTTACCTTGAAATTCGGAGGAAGTAGGGTCAAGTGCCAGGTACCACGAAATGCGGTCTCTGAAACATCCGGAGAACAGTTGGATCCGAGCCTTTTGTATGCCTCAATGAAGTTGGAACTAGAGGAACTCGAGTCGTTCGGAGTAGGAAAGGTGATCTCTGAAGATGAGGCCCGAAAGTCCGCACGTGAGAGCGGCAGGCGGGTGCTTACCAGTCGGTGGGTCAACACGGTCAAGCGTAAAGGGCTGTACCGGTCACGTCTGGTAGTAAGAGATTATGCTTCGATGGGAGGCACGACCTTGTCTGAAGGTATCTACAGCCCGACTACGAGTTTGGAGGGATTGCGGCTTCTGTTGGCACTGCTTTGTCGAAGGTTCAGTGTTGAGCTGTGACGTGAGCGTTGCTTTTATGCATGCAGCAGTGTCAAGGCCTGAGTACGTAGAGCTTCCGAGTAACGTGAGTATTGCGGACTCTAAAATCCCTCAAAAGGCCGGAAACAAGAAGGTGTATCTTCGATTACACAAAGCCATGAACGGACTGAGATCAGCACCGCTTTCTTGGTGTAAGGAGCTGAGTTCGCACTTGGAGCAGAGCGGATTCAGTCCAAGCTTGGACCCGACGATATACCGCAGGAAGACCTCCAAGGGTCTGACTCTGGTCCTCTTCTATGTTGACGACTTGCTAATCTACTCTGAGGACCCCTCCGAAGGGAAGAAGGTTTTCGAAGATCTACAGAAACGCTACAAGCTGAAACTAACTGGTGAGCTTCATGAGAATTGTGCGGGAGAAGTATCCTTTCTAGGACGGCGAATCTTCAGGAACAAGGGAGAGAAGCGAGTCTATTTTGGACTGGACGCTAAGTATTTGGATTCCTGCTGTGAAGAGTATGGGATAACCAAACCGAACCCCAAGCTTCCGTCATTGGAAAAGCGCTACTCTGACCTCATTAAGAAAGGCCAAACAGAAAAGATCAGTCCAGCTGCTCACGAGAAGTACCGTAGGACCTTAGGGCGTCTAGCATGGGCTGCCCTCTCCAGACCAGATTTGCAGTTCTGCTGCGGATTTTTGGGGCGTCATCAGTCGGCCCCTGACGAGGCAGCTGAAACATGCATGAGGGATGTTCTCAAATGGGTCAAAGGTCTTCCGCATAAGGTTCAGGTGTTTCCGTCGAGTCGGGAGATCCTGGAAGACGATGCGGATCCCCAAGCGGTATCGTGCTTTACGGACGCAAGCTGGAGCCTAAATTCTGTTAGTGGTGGTGTGATTACTTGGGAAAACTGCTGTTTGAAGACGTTCAGCAGGAAGCAATCCACCACAGCCCTTTCGAGCGCCGAGAGTGAGCTTGCGGCGCTTACTGAAATAGCCAGGGAAGGTTTGTACATTGCTCTCTTGACGGAGACCATCTTGGAGGGCATCCCGAAGGACCGGGAAACGGGGTACTACCTTCTTAAGGGGTATTCGGACTCTGAAAGCGCCGTGTCCATTTCCAAAATGGGGACATTGTTGAGGAAAGTCCGCCATATTGAGTTAAGAGCCGCTTTTCTCCAAGAACTTGTCCAGCTTGGAAGATTCACGATTGAGCACATACCAGGTGCTATCAACCCGGCAGATGCTCTAACAAAAAGCCCCACTAACGACAGTTTGGTCAGCTTGTGCGAGGCTTGTGGCCTCATTCCGGAACCAGTCCCCTGGAAAGAGAGAAGTTCTGGAACCAGCGTTTCTGTCACGTTTCAAGAGCCCAATAAACCAGCAGATGAAGTCTGCGAACTGAACGTCCCTGTTTCTTGGCGAGCCGCAGCAGAGAAGGTAGCAAGGAACCAGGCTTCTTATGTTGTGGTTGAGCTCTGCTGTGAAGAAGGAAGCTCTTTGTCAAAAGCTTGCTCGAAGAATCCTCGTATCGCGTATTTTGGAGTGACGAAGCAAGTGGATCTGTTAAGCGAAAACGGATACCAGCTTCTCAAAGAAGTCTTTAGCGTGTTACTTCATGAGGGGGTGAAGGTGTATGCGCACTTGTCTACGCCGTGTTCGGCTGGGTGCGGACTTCGTCATTTGAGATTCCGAAAAGGTGGACAGGCCTACGCCAGATGGCGGGAGTCTCTTCTGGTCCACAAGAGGTCTTGGCGAAGGATTTGGAACCTTCTCCGTCCGTACGCGAACTGTCCGCGTCTTCTTCTTTCTCACGAGTGGCCAGCTAGGTCTGACTTGTGGAATGAAACGGTCTTTAGATCTGTAAGTCAACGTCTTGGTCTTGCGAAGGGATGTGTCGTCGATCGCTGTTGCTTCGAGAAGGGTTCTGAAAGAGCCTGGAAGAGATGGTGGTTTTGTAGTAGGTACTGGCCCAGAATGGGCAACACCCTTATTTGAAGAAGTGGATTGTTTTGATTGTCAACAAAACAAAGCATGCATGAAGTTTGTTTTCATCAAACCAAGCATGAATGCACATGATGTGAGTCAACTTTTAAGATTGCTTGACAAGGCATGTTTGAGAGAATACATGGGCATGCTGGCTTTCTCCTCTCAAGTTTTGAGTGTCAGACGAAAAACATCAAATTTGGCTCAAGCCATTTTGGCTCAAGTTTTGAGTGTCAGACGAAAAACATCTTTGAAGCGGGTTCGGGGCCTCGAACAAGGTTCGCAGTAACCGTGGCTCCCTGACGTTTGACCATTAGGGTCTCCGTGCACGTTGGCTCCCGCGGGGAGCCAACAGATGGAGGTGCCCGAGCAGGTTGCCACAGGTATCGAGGCTGCGAGCTCTGCTGAGGATTCCTCCGTGGGCACTGTGAGCCACCTTGAGTGGAGCCACATTGGCTTGCGTCGCCAGTTCCGTGGTCTGGTGCGAGTGGTGGTCCAGCTTTCTAATCGCCTGGACTCCCTTGAGTCCCTCTTAGCCTTGGGCTCTGCTTTTCGTGCGTGGCATCTGTGCTGCCCAGGTTCCGTTAGGCGTGCAGCATCTCATTTTGAGCATGTCAGACCTTGAGTACGAGCTTTCTGAGTCGGGCGATGTCAGTGACTTTCCGCCCTGTGCGCCTCTGCCTGAAGAGGATGTGAGCCGCATGTTGCAGGATGCATTAGCTGAGTTGGGTGCTGCCGACAGTTTTGTTTCGCCCGCGTCTGTTGCCCCCCAGCCGGCTTTTCAGGGGGAGTCTCGGGGCCATGGGGGCATTGCAGTTGATTCTTCTGATGCTTCGGGCTCCATTGCACAGGACAGTCATGATTGGCTTTGCGTGGGTGCAGGTTCGCAGGCAGACTTTGTTGTCGCTCCAGACCTTAGAGCAGTGCATTTATCGCTTGAAGACAAGGGACCTAAGCAGTTTTGGGAGACTGGGTTTTGGGGGTCTTTCTTCGGGGAAAATCCACTAGATACAATGTTTCCCGAGTTCGATGCTTCCCGACCTGAAGTGCCAAATCTTCCAGATTCTCTCGCTGATGATGCGTTGCGGCCTGGAGCAAAGAAGCCTCAAAGTGTAGACACCTCATCTTTTGAATCAGTCGTCAGGAACCGCAAGGTTTTCTCTTGGCGTGATAAGCGCGAGGTTGAGCATCACAGAGCTTTGATCAAGTGGGACCAGCTTTTCTTCTTGTGGGATGCGAGTGCTGACAAGCGCATCCAAGAAATCGTTGCAATTGAGCTTGTCACCGAGCGTCATGAGTTACTTGAGGATTATATGGCTAGGAAAGCCCCTGCGACCATGCTGAAGCGAGCAAACTCCATGCGTAGGCTCACATCTCTTGCGTTGGAGTTGACCCTGATTTTCCCCTTCACGGAAAATGATTTACATCGTGTCCTTCATGTTGCTAAATCGAGTGGGGCAGCTTTGTCTCAGTTGAGGAGCATCATGGAGGCCATTACTTTCACCCGGTTTACCTTCGACATGGAATCCTTGGATGCCTTGTGTGGAAGTAGAAAATGTTGGGGAGTAGGAGTGGCACGCCTTGCTACGGTAGTGAGGAAAGCAGATCCCCTGAGAGTTGAGGATCTCCGGAAGCTTCACCAGTTGCTTAGAGAAGCCCTTTGCCTTTGGACCCGCCTCTTTGCAGGGTGTGCCTTGTACTGCTGTTACGCCCGCTGCAGATGGTCAGACAGCCAGCACATTGACCTCTTCACCATTGAGACGGACGCGCTCACCCAGCGCCCGGCTTTTCTGTGTGCCGTGATCGATGTTCACAAAACAATGAACCTTAGGGGGAGGCTTCCTGTTCATTTGGAGTTGGCGGCTCCCGGGCAAGGAGTGACCGATGATGATTGGGTTTCCCAGTTCATGGAAGTTCGAAACTTGCTGGAGCTTGGGGACGAGCATCCCTTTATGCCAGCACCAGATCGATCAGGTTTTGCAACCGTAAGAGCGCTTGATGCTGATGAGGCCGGGGATTGGCTTGGGTTGTTGTTGACAAATCGTGTTGGTCTCCGAACCACTTCGCATTCCCTCAAGTGCACGTGCCTTTCTTTCGCGGCTAAGTTTGGCATAGGATACCAGGACCGACTTGTTCTTGGAGGTCACGCGCATTCAGGCCGCATGGCCGAGGTCTACGGCCGTGATTCCATGGCAAGACCGCTCAGGTTGTTGGGAGAAGTGCTAAGTGCAATTCGTTCGGGATCCTTTGTGCCAGATGCGAACCGTGCTGGACGTTTTGTGAATGCAAAGCCCTCAACCGTCTTCATGTCCGAGGAGGGGCACGACTTTTGTCCAGTGTTGAGAGCCTTCCCGAAAGCCCAGGCTAGCCCTTCTCTTGAGCACTCACATGAAGGCATTGAGGACAAGTCCGCGTCACCGGCTTCCCCCCAGCACTTACATGAAGGCATTGAGGGCAAGTCAGCGTCACCGGTCTCCCCACGCAGTCCATGTACGTCCGTGCTTGAATCCCGAGCCTCAGCTCCGCCCAGTCCTGCAGAGCCCTCAAAGTTGGCCGATGAGGACAGCGATAGCTCCAATTCCCAGGTTACCTCTTCCAACTCGGAGTCTTCGAGCAGCTCCAGTTCAGAGGACGAAGCTGTGGGGCCTGTTGGGCCCCTTCCTGAAGCTGGGGATGGGTTTAAGTTCGTTCAACATAGCAAATTCGGGACGCTGCACTTGCTCCGGAGTTATCACAGCCGAACTCTGTGTGGCCGGAAAATCGCACCTCCTCTTGGAGATCCGGTCAACGTGAAACCTAGGACTTCCGTTTGCAGGACGTGCCGTAAAGCGCAGTCCAATGCTTGATGTCGTGCAGCACCCGGAGAAAGAGGTTTGCGCGCAAATCACTCGCTGTCACTCGCTTTGCAGCTGATAACATTGCACGTGCTGCATGCCCAAGGATTGTCCTTGATCAGCTACACGCAACTTGCTGGATCCATGCTCAAGCCTTCTTTGGCTGTTAGTGGCTTGTCAGCACGGCCAAGGCAACATGACCTTGGTTGATTCAGAAGCCTCCTTCAAAGCGAGGTGCATCGTAGTATGTGGCGATGAAGTCCTTCATGGACAGCTGTGCGCGCATCGGGTCAAGACCTTCAGCGATCTTGCTTTCGCCTGCGGGACCCCTCAGGCCCCACCAACTGAGGATGAGTTCTCCTTGTTTTGCGACCGCGTGCTTGCGCCCGGGGCTCCAGTGGGCGATGCCGCTAAGTTGCGCCGACTTCATTTTGAGTCGTCAGCTTATGTCACTGCAAGTCTCAAGGCACAGGTTATGGGCCAGTCCTCCGATGCACCGAAGACCTTGCCTTTGGCAGAGAAAGTAGCTCGCATAGAGAATCAAAAGCAGAGACTCAAAGGCCTTGTTTTCCAGGAAGAGCTTGAGCCAGCTTATTCCTTGATCGATGCAGTCGCTCACCAGGTTGAGATAAATCAGCTTTCAGGGTTGTCACCCAGCAAATGCCCAAAAAGGGACCAGGAGCTACGCAATAGTGGCCGAGAAAAGAATCGTGTCCTGACTCTTCAAGAAAATCAGGTTGCACTTGTTCCCGTGGCAGATCAAATCACTGCTCATCACGCTACCCCCTTGGAGGTCCAGTGGTGTCTCCAGCGCCGGGGATTGGCGTATGATCTCAATCAGGTGATCTCGTGGGAAGCCCATGAAAGTTGGGTCTCATATCTCATGCAGCACTTGACGAGGCCTGCTCCTCCCAATTACGCGCAGGTTGGGATAAGCCAAATCCTCAAAGCCGATTGTGAGTTGTTCCTTTTGATGTCGAAGGAGGTGACCCAAGTCCGCGCTTCTTCCTCAGGGGCCATGGAGGCGGACCAGGCACTCCGCAAATTGCGCTATGATCCACGCATCACAATGCACTTGCTTCCCTTGCCAAAAGGGCAGGCCGCGCCCCCGGCTACCAATGCAGATCCCGATTCTCCTCCGCCTGGTCGGGGTACGAAGCGATTGAGAGGGAGTCAAGGTGGCCTCCTTGCTCCTGTCAAGACCGCCACCTTGCCCAAGGAGTTGCAGGATTGCCCGCACCTCACTTTCACCGACAACCGTCGGCTCTGTTGGGGTTTTAATTGCAATGGATGCCAGGCCAAGACTGATGGTAAAAACCCCCCTGCGTGTAACCGTGGTGTGCATGCCTGTGCTCGTTGCCGCAAGCCCGGTCATGGTGCCAAGAAGTGCTGGTTTAATCCCGCAAATAAGGGAAAAGGGGGTGGTGGTGGCAAAGGTCCTCGTACTGGCAAGGGCCAAGGTCAAGCCGTCGAGTGACAAACGCCCGCTGCTGCTCGCGTGATTCCGCTCTTGGATCCCGAGCAGCCCAAGGGCCACAAAAGAGCAAGCACCGGAGAGATACTCTCAGGCAAGCCTGTGTTGAGTTCTTCTCCTGGTTCATCTTCCCATGATGCCTCTGCGAGTTCGCATGATGGCTCTGTTCGCACCGCGCTCAGATCCTTTCGTTTCGAGTCTTGGTGTGAGCACAATTTTTCTTCTGAGCTTTCAAAGCCCGAATCCTTTGCAGCGCAGTTGTTGCAGCAAGGTTCTTGCAATGGGACCGATCTCTTGCATTTGTCACACTTGTTGCCTGTCGAATCTAAGTCCAGGCACTCCGCAGATTCCCTGGACGGTGGGAGCTTTCTCACTGGGGCCTACCGTCATGGCGGTGTCGCTGGGGCCAGAAAATCTTTAGCTGAGTTTCCCCTCACCTCCCGCCTTCTTGTACAGCTCGCTACTCAGCTTTTTCCGGGAACCACTTTTTCCACTGTTGCGCTTTTTCGCAACCTGCGAACCCCACGACATTCAGATAGCAATAACCTCACCGGCTCATGCAACCACGTCGCGGCTCTGACCAGCTTCTCAGGGGGAGGCATCCGTGTGTATCAGGGCCCAGAGCCAGAGGACCTCACGTTTGGAGCATCTGGCGTCCTTAGCTTTGATGCGCATTTCGAGCATGAAACCTTGCCTTGGCGGGACGGGGACCGCCTTGTACTTGTTGCCTTCTCCGTTGGCTGCTTGTCGAAGCTCTCCGCTTCCTGCCGTGCCTCGCTTCTGGCGGTTGGGCTGCCCTTGCCACAAGAGCCTGCTGCTGCCCTTCCGGGCCTCACAACCGGGGAGCCAGATTTGGGTCTGTGTCTTGAGGTGTTTTCCGGCACGGCCCGGTTGAGCGTTGCCTTGCAGGATGTGGGTTTTCAGGTCTTGGCTTTTGATCATAGGGCGCGTTCCACCTTCCCAACCCAGCAGCTTGACCTTACCATACCCGACCACCAACAGGTGCTGTTTGACATTGTCAACGATAATGCTGCCCGCCTGCAGCATATCCATCTGGCTCCACCATGTGGAACTTGTTCAGCCGCCCGTGGCATCCCCATTCCGGAGTTTGCAGAAGCTGGCCTTTCCCAGCCTGTCCCCTTGCGCAGCGAGGCCCACCCTATGGGTCTACCCGGTTTATCAGGCTCTGATTGGGACCGAGTCCAGTCAGCAAACATCTTGTATGAGTTCTCCTGTAAACTGGTGCGTTTGGCAGTGTCGCTTGGCGTTGGCATTTCCATTGAAAATCCCCAAAACTCCTGGTTTTGGTGGTTGCCGCCAGTTGTGGCGTTGCTCCAAGACATCAATGGCCACGAGACTTCTTTCCACGCTTGCATGCATGGAGGTTCTCGCGACAAGTTGACAAAGTTGTGGTGTTCCGATGATCGTTTTGCTCCGCTCCAGGCTCTGTGCAGTCGAGACCACAAGCACGCGCCCTGGCGTCCGCGCCTGCTTGATGGAAAGGTCAACTTTCCGACGGCTGCTGAAGCTGCTTATCCTGTCTTGCTGTGTCAGAGAATGGCTGAACTCGTTGCTGCAATGAAGCGTGCCTTGCCGCCCCAGGCTTCCTTGTTTGGTCCCGCTCCGCAGAAATTGCGCCTCGCCTTGGAGCGCCAGCCTCGGCGGCGGCGTCCTCTTGTGAGCATGTATACAGCCTACGATGCATGGGCCGTTCCCCTGGAGCTGGCCGAGCCGGTCCACCGCCTTCTCAAGTGTTACCCCAAAGGTGCTCGAGTCATCAGACGGCAGCTTTGCTCATGGGGGCAGGTTCGGGCGGCCGTCTGTCCCAAAGTTGAGGAGGATCGGCTGAAGCAAGTTCTGACTAGCGCTTGGACCTGGTGCACCACACTTGATGCCGAGCCTAATCTGCCTGTCGAAGATTCGATGTCCTCGTTTGAGGTTTGTGGGATGTGCTCACCTTCAAACTTCGTAGAGACAGCAGAGATAGTCTGGGTAGGAATTCCGAGGGAGCCAGAGGACTTCTTGCAACAAGCTGTGAAAGTGGGCCATCCCAGGAGGATGATCACTTCTGATGAGGACCCCACATTGACGACGTTACTTGAAAATCTCCTTGCGCCTAGATTGGATTGCCGAGACAAGGGAACTTCCTTGCTGGAAAGGTGGGAGCAGGAGAAAGAGCAACTTGCGCATGAAGAGGAAAGAGTGATGTCCTCTTTGGACCCTGTGGTAGCAACTGTCCTTGAAGGGAAGTCCACCGTCCTACTTGACCGGCTGTTGCAGGAAGCCCAGTATCCGGATGTGGATCTGGTGGAGGACATCAGACAAGGTTTCCCTTTGACTGGCTGGATGAAGAACACAAACGTCTTTGTTCCTGACCCAAGGCCACCCAAGGCCACCTTGTCGTCTCAGCTCAGTTCCGCCTCTGCAAGGAACCGAGCTACCTTGGCAAAGGTTGCTTCGACCGTGAGTGACGCCACTGCGATAGCCACTTGGGACGAGACCCTCCAGGAGCTTGAGAAAGGTTGGATCTTTGAGGACGCAGACGTTGACTTGGCATCTTGCCTCATTGCGCATCGCTTTGGCGTCTGCCAGGGATCCAAGGTTCGGGTTATAGACAATGGTAAAGCTTCTGGAATCAACCAAACGGTTGGGTTGCAGGAGAGGTATAGGCTGCACGGGGTTGAGTTTCTTGCTGCTCTTTTAACGAAGGCCCTAAGTGACCCTAGGTCCAAAGGAGCGGTGATCGAAGGAAAAACGCTTGACTTAACTTCGGCTTACAAACAATATGCAGTTTTGCCTTCGGACAGAAGTTTGTTCCGCATTGCAGTCATGAACCCCTCGACAAGGGAGGTGCACATCTATGGCCCATGCTCTTTGCCCTTTGGCACCACTGGCAGCGTCTCCGGATTCCTTAGGACCGCGGCAGCCACCTGGTTTTTGGGTTCGGCTAGGGTAGGGCTGGCATGGTGTAGCTATTTTGACGACTTTCCGCTGTTAGCTCTCAAAAGCTGCACTCACCAAGCGGACGGTTGTGCAAAGGCCCTGTTTGATTTGCTGGGAATCAGGTTCGCCCGTGAAGGTAAGAAGGCTGTACCCTTCAGCTCAACCTTCAAGGCGTTGGGCCTCTTGTTTGACTTGTCAAAGTTTGGAGAAGGAGAAGTCGTAATTCGGCACACAGATGAACGGATCAAGGAGCTCCATGCGTCGTTGAGTAAAGCATTGGAGGCAGACAAGTTGACGCCTGCCGAGGCGGAAAGCTTGAGAGGGAGGCTGCACTGGTTCTGCTCTTCCTTTTCGGCCGTAGGCCTTGTCATGCCGTCAGCACTCTGAACAAGCGTGCCAAAGCGAGTGAGGGATGTCTCTCGTTGGACCCTGATCTTAAAGATGCCCTGGCATACCTAAAGGACAAGGCGCTGTGTGCCCCGCCGTTGAAGTTGACTGCAGACTTCAGGCGCACCTTTTACATCTTCACGGATGGAAGCCTTGAGGACTCTTACGCGGGGTTGGGGGGAATTCTCTACGACTCCCTCGGATCTCCTCTTGCGTTCTTCTCGGGAACAGTGCCTGAGGACGTTTTGAGTGCTCTGAGAAAGCAATCTTCGCATCCAATCTATGAGGTAGAGCTGCTCGCTGTGTGGGTCGCCATGACCTTGTGGGAGTCCGCCTTGTCGGATGCCTACAGCGTTTGTTATCTCGACAATGAAGCGGCGCAAGGGGCTTTGATAGCCTGCAAGTCGTCTACGTTGGCTGGGACTGCAATTGTCCGTGACATCCTTGACCTTGAGGATAGGTGCCGTTGTCGTCCTTGGTATGGGCGAGTGCCATCTCACTCTAACCCTTCAGATCCTCCGAGCCGAGGTGATTGCGCTGCTTTGCTTGGGGCAGGATTGATGGCCAGCTCTATGCCTGTGGAGTTCCCTGATGTTGGGAGTTAGAGGGGTCACATGTCGGGTTGCTCCCAAGAGCTGCGTCTTCTCTAAGGGGGATGATCGGGCATGCTCTTGTGTGGATGGTCCATCGTGGTGTAGCAGGCATTGCCAGTTCCCACGTGGCCTCTGCAGTGCACAACAAAAGACCGACTCTGACCCCTTTGCCTTTTGGAAGAAAACAAATGAGCGAGTGAGCGTCATCATGTTTGTTTGGGATCTCAAGTGATGAATCTTCAGGATGGATAGTTTTGTGAACCTTTCTCAAATAGATTCTGTCATTGGATTCCAATATTTCATATGCTGACGTTCAAGCATTGGGAAATTGCAAGTTTTAATTTCCATGAGCCATCGCATACGTGATGTGAGTGTTGCATGCGGTCCACAAGGCAAATAAGGTACTGGCCCAGAATGGGCAACACCCTTATTTGAAGAAGTGGATTGTTTTGATTGTCAACAAAACAAAGCATGCATGAAGTTTGTTTTCATCAAACCAAGCATGAATGCACATGATGTGAGTCAACTTTTAAGATTGCTTGACAAGGCATGTTTGAGAGAATACATGGGCATGCTGGCTTTCTCCTCTCAAGTTTTGAGTGTCAGACGAAAAACATCTTTGACCCACCCACCCACGCCGGGGGGATGATCGGGCATGCTCTTGTGTGGATGGTCCATCGTGGTGTAGCAGGCATTGCCAGTTCCCACGTGGCCTCTGCAGTGCACAACAAAAGACCGACTCTGACCCCTTTGCCTTTTGGAAGAAAACAAATGAGCGAGTGAGCGTCATCATGTTTGTTTGGGATCTCAAGTGATGAATCTTCAGGATGGATAGTTTTGTGAACCTTTCTCAAATAGATTCTGTCATTGGATTCCAATATTTCATATGCTGACGTTCAAGCATTGGGAAATTGCAAGTTTTAATTTCCATGAGCCATCGCATACGTGATGTGAGTGTTGCATGCGGTCCACAAGGCAAATAAACTCTTCTAATTTCATCAACATTATGGCTAGGAACCGGTGTGATGAGAGCCACCAACACATCCATCTTCAGCTCCCGGCGTCAGGTGTGTACCCTGAGCTGTTAGGAGAAGAAATGCTGAAGGGTGCGAGACAAGCTATGGAAGAAGACAGGACTTGAGGACGCAACTGTTGCAGGCATGAGGGGGTGTGAAAGTTTTTGACTTCCTTGTGAATGCCTTTACAGTTGACAGGATGTCTTGCACGTGTGACATGAACCACGAGTTTGCATTGCATGAGTTGAGAGCTGTGCTTGAACCGTTTGTTTGGTGTTAGCAGAAACAGGCATGAACATAGCATGTTTGGAGCTTGGCTTGAAAGTGTTTCTTGCTTTGAGCTTGACGTAAGATGCTTGGAGTGTGCATGATGAGCAGAGAAGCACTCGAGATGCTTTAGGAGCATCCTTGAAGAAGTGCGTGTTGCTCTGAGTTTGCTCTTCAAACTTTGGCCGCCGACCCTCGCTTCGCTCGTGTCGTCGTACTGAGGTTCGAGCAGAGTGGCTGTGCACTTGTATGCTTGTTTTGCTAAAGCACTGAAGTCCTGAGAAGCATTAGGACGTTTGCATGTGTTCCTCCTTTGTTTAACAAAGTTGAGATGGAATTCACGAAAGTGAAGCTGCGCTGACTCTGCGAGAGACTTGCCGAACACCTCTGGTGTTTTGGCTCAAGCGTGGAGTGAAAAAGTGCTCTGCGTTTTTCACAAAATCACCGTATGCCCTTGATCTCTTCTTTGAAAAAAAAGTTTTCCAGCCGGCATGCATTATTTTATCCACCCAAATCATTTTGGTATGTGTTTTGCGCCTCCGAGCATTCCTGATTCCTGTCCAACAATCGCCTACATCCACTTTGGCAAAGTCGGCTTGACGCACCTCCTTTCCAAAAAGTTCTTGCTGGACCTTCCTTGCCGCGGCGTGCGAGCAGTGAGGAGCCCCCTGACTGAGGAGCTTCTCACGTCTGCCTTTGCTTCGGTGAAGGCAGGCGGAGTGGAAACTCCAAGTCCTTCTTCCTGGACGCGCCAGGGTACCACCACGGCAACTTTCGACGTGTGCAAAAGTCACGTCCGCTTGTGCGTGGCCTGGCGGGTGCCCGTTTCTATTATGTTGATCACTTCCGCAAGAAAGCTGCCTGTGGGGGGTCGTTGTTCTTTAAAAAAAATTCTCCACGCTAGGAGCTTGCCTGTGGGTCAGAGTTGCTGTAGCGTCGCAATCTGGGGAGCGCAGGGGCTCGAAAAATGCAGATTTAGCGACACCAAAATTGTATGTTTTCATTCATCCTGGCAAAACATCGATTAATTCAGCTCGAATCCTTGTTGACTTTGGGTCAGTTTCCGTGGCTTTGCCTGAGCAAAACTGTTCCCCACCCAACAAGTGAGGACGGCAGGGAGGACAGCTTGCGACTGCGGCCAGGAAGGCTATATCTTGCGGGCAACTGTACCGAAAATGTTGCCTTATTAAACAACTCAGGGAGGCTTAGACAGGTAACTGTTCGGCCAGGGACGCTTGACGGGCAACTTATTAAGCAGGCTGGGGAGGCTCAGCAACTGTACCGAAATGTTGCTGTGCCGACATGTTGCATTGCTATGCAGGCGAGGGTCTCAGGCGGGCAACTGTACCGAAATGGTTCACTACGCACTAGTCCGTTACGAATGTTCAGTTTTGGATTCCGTTGTGAACATACAAGGCCGCCCAGGTTGCACCGCACAACCCAATCTCAAAGCAACTGGGCAATAGTCACGATTTTAGCTGGGTGCTGGCTGGACACCAGGTTTGCGGAGGCGTCCATTGCGTTAACAAAAACATGATCTGAACCATGGAAGCTCAAAAGATAGGAGCTTCCTCGCTCTGCACATTCCGGCATTCTGCCTGAGATTGCCTGAGACATCAAGGGAAGCATTGTGATGGCTCTGCAAGAGCCAAGTGCTTACTGGTTTCCTTTGTCTTCTTTGTGAAATTCACCTGTAGTGTTTGTCCAGTTGGTGCCATGTGGTGTTTTACTGTACAGAGAGAAGCATGAGAGTTTTTCTGCTGCATGACGTGACATGAGCATGTTTGGTTTTGCCCGAAGTCCCTAAAGCATGTTTGGGTTGACTGCGACGCATGTCTTGTCTTGTTGGCATGGCCTAGGATGAGTTTTGAGGCACTTGGAACTGCAGGAGAGCAGTAGTGAAGAAGTGCGTGTCAGAACTCTGAGGTTCTGTCTTGCTGCAACTCACTCCGTGTCCCCGCCACTTCGTTCGTTGCCGTTGGACGTGTAGAATGGGAGTAGGAGTGCAGAGTGAACTCTGAAGCTTCGCTGTTTTTGCTGTTCGGAAGTGACCTGAAGTCCCCGAGGTGTAGACCAAAGCAGTTGCATTGTTCTTTTGCTTTACCTCCTTTGTAGAACAAAGTTGAGATGGAATTCGTAGCTTTTTGGAGCCCTTAGCTCTTGGAGAGAGCTTGCTGCAAGAACTGAAGCTTGCTGAACACTTTGGTGTTTGGCTCAAGTGCGAAGTGAAAAAGAGACAGCTGCGCGAGCTCTGCTTTTCACATGGTAGCGGAGCACTGAGAGTGACTCCAGCGCCTGTGTTAAGTACCTCCACGCCATGGCGACTCCAGAGCAAGGCGGAAGTGTGCATGGAAGCCCGCAGGGTTCTCCAGTGCACGTGCCTGTGACTGCTGAAGCAGTCCCTGTCCCTGACAACACTCCTGAGGAGGAAGCCTTGCTGTTTGGAACCGGTGAGACTCCGGTAGAACAACAGCCGAACCCCTTCACTGCCTTTGGAACTCAAGGAGTTCCTACCTCAACGCCAGCGACGAGTTCACAGCCAGTCACCGCTCCAGGTGGTGGTGCTGTTGGCGAAAGTTTGGTGGTTGAGATGCTGCGAGTAATGCAGCAGCAGCAGAGGCAGCAGGAAGCCATGATGGTCCAGTACAGGAAGCAGTTGGAACAGAACCAACAGCTTGTGGCCACCATGCTTCGTCGCATGGACAGCGAAGAGAAGAGGAGGAGCGATGCCGAACTTGCAGCTGCTGAGGCTAAAGCCAAGGCGGAAGCCGCAGCGGCATCTGCACCGAGTGACCCGTTCCTCGCTGCGACTTCTTCCACAGGAGGTTCCCTTCCTTCTTCAAGCCCTAAGGATACTGGAAGTTCATCTGGTGGATACGTTTCCAACCGCGCCGACAAGTATCTTCCACAGTTGCCGGTTATAGCCCACCAAGAGATGGGTAGAGACCGCATGCGGGAGATTGAAGCTTGGCACAGCTTCCTGGAGACGCTGAGTTCTTGGCTGGCTCTGCAGGACGAAGCCTACGTGAACGAGATTCGTCTCTGCGTCGGCGTCAAGGACGAGATTCGACAGGACCTTTTGCCTCCTGACACTGCAGCTCGGTCGGCGAAGTTGTTTTACCTGCTGTCGCAAAGTTTGGCGAAGTGGGAGCGTGGTTTGGAGTTGCTTCGAGGCTGTAGCAAAAGGCAGAGCATGTCTGCTACTGGCTACGAGGCAGTTCGCACACTGCACCTCAACTACTCCATTGTGTCTCGAATGGAAGCCGTCTACGTGAGAGACGGTTGCATGAAGTTGCATGCCCAGTGTTCGGGGCTCAAGAAGCCCATGGACATCATCAGACACTTGGAGGACGAAATCGCCAAGGCGGAGATCAAGTTGAGCAACTTCCCCGAGCTCAAGCTCTCCGAAGCGGATCGCTGTTCCATCCTGCTGCAGGCCGTTTCACATCCGGCGAGACAGTATGTGGCGCTGCACGGCAACGCCAACAGCTGGAGTGAGCTCACGAAGAGCCTCAAATACTTCGAAGAACAGCTGAGGATGTGCGACGTGCCGACTGCAGCAAACCGTGGAATGGACGGCAAGCTTTGCGACCATTGCGGCAAGCATGGTCATGTGGCAAAGGATTGTTGGGTCCGACAGCGTGAAGCTGGTGAAAAGGGCGGCAAAGGCGGCAAGGGCGGCCAAGGAGAGTCGAAGAGTGGAAAGGGCACTGGTGGCCCTAAAGGACAAAGGTCCCCCACTTCGAAGGGAGCGCCTCGCTCTCCAACGCCGGAAGGAAAGCCCAACTCCAAGGGAGAGAAGGGTGAAAAGGGAGAGAAAGGCAAGGATAAGGGCAAGAACAAGAAGAACCGCGCCCGGGCTATGGGAGAACCAGAGTCCGAGGCGGAAGCATTGCCTACACAGAGTGTGGTGGCGATGCGCTTTGCCCAACGAAGTCCTGCACTGAGCCTTTCTGAGTCGCATGAGCGTAGGGTAGGTTTTTCACTCGACAAACAACGTTTGGGACCTGTTAGCAATTCTTTGAATGCAGGGGATGTAGAGCGCATCTGCGCCAGCTTCCAGCTAGAACCGAGAGACGTCTGGTTAGTGGATTCTGGAGCCACGTGTCATGTGGTTTCCTCGGAACACCTCAGCGGATTCAGGGTGGTGAAGACTCATGAGAGAGAGGTCACTCTGTACAACGCTTCAGGGGGGAAGATCCCCGTGTCAGGCGTCGTCGACTTAGAGGTCGTCTTCGGTGATTGTAGCCTTCTTTTGACGGAGGTTCTCGTTGCGGAAGTTACGTTTAACGCCATTAGTCCCTGGGCGGCGGTGGAGAAAGGGTGGAGAACGTATCTCTACAAAACCGGGTCTAGGTTGTACAAAGGCAAACGCAACGTGAAACTCGTATCCGCTAATCGGGCTTGGTGGGCGTTGAGCGGGGGTCGCCGCCAGAAAGCGGGGAAAGGTCGTTCTCCGCGCCAGCCTTCGGGCTCGGACATGGAAATAGACGCGATTACCTGCCTGCAGGACTCTGTTGTTAAGCCCCAGCCAGGACCGAGCATCCTCAAGAAAGCGACGACAGGAGGAGAGAAGGCGGAGGTCGAGAAGCCACAAGGAAGAGATAGCGGTGATTGCCGGCACGCTTTGCTTGAGACTCCGTTTGCTTTCTTGTTGCGAGGGCTTAGAGCCGAAGTATCCCCGAAAGTGGTCCCTGAAGTTCCTCAAGAATGCACCGAGAACACCCCGATAGTGCCCGAGAACACCCTGAAAGTGCCCGAAATGCCCAAAGAAGTGCCCAAAGAACAGCCCAAACGAACCCCTCAACTCATTAGGAAGCCTGTTGAAAGGCCCGTGGCATGTTTTGCGGCATGTTTATTGGCATGTTTTGTGGCATGTTTACTGGCATGTGGTGCAGCATGTTTTTCGGCATGGTGTTTTGTGCATGAGGGTTTTATTTTAGAGAACGGCGTCTATACGCCATGCATTTTGGAAAGCGCTTTTTCGGCGCCCTCCCGTTTTGGACGGTTTGATCTCGAGACCGTGCCTGTTCCTGTAAGTGTTTTGAATGGGTGCGCATCTTGCAATGGGGCCTCTTGGGGGGCAATCCAGCGCTCCAAGGCGCTTTGCGGAGAGCCCGACGCCAGCCCGTTCTCCAACGGAAGAATTTTACCAAGAAGAGATGCGCGAGGCCGAGAATCAGGCCGAAGAGGTGGAGCGGATGGCAGCTGCAGAGGAGGAACAAAGAAGGGCTTTAAATGCCCCATTGGTTGCTCATGTTGCCACCGACGACGAGCCTCGGAGCGAGGAGCCACCGGTCGTCCTCGATGCTCTTCAAGTGGATCGTATGGTTCCAGACAACGAGGAAGAGGGCCTCGAGGAGGAGAGCGAATCGGATGCTTCTCCGTTGACGATGGAGGAACAGACGAATGTTGTGCGATGTCTCTGTCTCGGTGGAGGCGGGGACGGAACCTCCTCCAAGTTTCAAGCCCCTGGAAACCGAGTCCTGGGGTACTTGGACCGCTGGGCCGACTCGAAAAGAGTTATTCCTGAAGTGGGAGGCCGCTATCTATGCAGATGCTGGGCAATACGATGTGTGGGAAAGTCACCACAGGATGGGCGAACCCATCCCTTTGTGTCGGGACTGCCTAGGGCACCCGATCAATATGCTCAGCAAGGTGGCCCACGACCCCGACTACCTTCCCAAGTACTGCACCGGTGGGGCTTTGCCGGCAATGGACTTGGAGCCGGATCAGGTCGAGTGTGTCCCGGTTTGCCCTGGATACGTTTCGATGAATTCGTGCTCGTGGGCCCATGGAATTATACCCCCGGAACGGTGCTACATCCTCCAAGAGCCCAAAGATCTGGAAAGATACTTTGGTCCAAAACGCTTCGCGGAGGTAGAAATCCTCACGACAGAGCTCTTGGATGCCCATTACAAGATTTTGGACGAACTCAACGAGGCCGAAAGTCTTCGAGGATTCGGTGTCACGGAGGGGATGGTGAGCAAGGCCCTCGAAGAGGTGTCTTCCTCACTTACCAGTGGTGCCTCATTCCACCCTCATGTTCGGCCGAATTCCAATGTGCATACGCTCATTTACAAGTACCTACTTCGAGCAGCACGAGTGCTTCGTGTGCACAGCATTCACAGCCATCAGTACTACGACATCGAGGCTACCCTTTTGGCGCCACCAGATGGAGTACAAGGATGGCACGTGGATGTGTGTTGGGATCTTCTGGGTCGACAGCTTCGAAGCAGGGCCCTCGAGTTCCACAAGATGGCCGAAGATCGTCGAGCAAAGCGTGCTCAACGTCCAAAGGCGCGACCTGCGCCACCACCGATCGAAGAAGATTCTACCTCGGAAGAGGAAGAGGACGTCGATTCGTCCATCCTCAAGGAATACACCGAGCTGGGGTGGTACGTGCAGAAGGTGCTCGAGGAGATTCGTGGTGGAAATTTGGCGCCATCTCCGAAGATCTACTTGGAAGGCCAAATGGTGAATGCCCCCTCGACTTATGGAGGTTCACAGAGGCCGGCGGAACCACCTTCACCGGCAATGTTGCCGACGGAGCCGCCTTCACCATCGGGAGTTTTGGCCCCAACGGAACCACCATCACCCGCGGAATCCATGGTGCCACCTCCTCCACCAGTTCCTCGGTTCAAAATGCCTCAAAGGCCTCCACGTCCTTTGAGCGGAGAAGGAAACTATTCGGTGTGGGATCTCCTAAACACACCTGTGGAGCCTCCATCGCCAATGTCCCCGGTGCCCACGGAGGTAGCGGATCGCGGCCGTTCCAGAAGCCCACGAAGGCTGCGACATTCGGATGTAGTAAGCGAGGCAAGGGCCGCTATAAGCGAGGCCGAAGCCGCTCTTCGCTAAAAGCGAAAATGAGGCAATGCTCTTCCGTTGCGCCGCACCGTCGTTTTGCGCCCCGACAAGCAAAAAGAGAACCAGCTCGGAGACACGAGCAAGTAGGTGTTTGTTGTTGGCATGAAACTGTGACATGTTGTGGCTTGAGCTTGGCATGTTTGACTTGTCGTGGCATGGAAACATTTTGGCTTGGAAACATTAGCCTTGAGGCCCCAGAAGTTAAAAAGCATCTAGTGGTAGGACCCCTAGTAGAAATTGGAGGTTCAAAGCCCCGAGTAGAAAGAACCCCTTTCCGCCTTCACGCCAGGCGGTCCGCTAAAATTCCAGGATTGATCATCGACGTCGCGATGGTGTTCATCATCCTGATCTTCAGTGCCTTGGTTGGGGTCGGTGTTTCGGGTCTTTGGAAATTGCTCGAAAAGGTTTGTCAGAGAGGCTCCAAGAGAGCACCTGAGATGAGTAGAATAAAGCCCCGAAAAGGAGGATGTTGGATTCGTATTCGCACCCGAAAATGCTTCAAGCGTGTTTGCGTAGAACAAATCTTGTTGGTTGGTAGAAAAAGCCCAAAAGCCCCAACTAAGGGAAAGCCCAAAACCTTAAAGTTGTTGGCTTGTTTGCGGCATGTTTGGCATGTTTTGGCATGTTGTCTTGATGTGGCATGCTTGGTGTTGAAGGGAAATGATGAGAGAGTGCCGGAAGGAGGCTTAAAGCAGCCAGTGACTGGGCATCTGCGGATGCTCAGAGGGCTGCCCCTTCCAAGAAGTGGCACATGCTCTGATCCCTTGATCTTGGATCGTGATGATGGTGAACCGTCATTCTCTTTGAACCAACCGAATTGTTCCCCACAAAACTCGGAACAACCTCCTGAAACCCCAATTCCACAAGGAGAGGAGATTGAAGAAAGGATCCCTGTGCGAAGCCATACCCTCCAGGTACATCGCTCCAGAGGTCATTCTCCCTATGATGTGAACTGCGAAAGCTGCTCTAGCAAAGGCCAAGTCCCGGTCAGGAGACTGGAGCGGCAGCTCCAGAAGGAGAATCAAACCATTGGGGTCGATTTCTATTATTTTGGGAAACTGAGGGTTCTTCTTCTCGTACATGTTGCGTCCCGGTACTCAGTGTCTATCCCCGCCATGGAACTACACGACCCGAACGTGTTATTCAATATCGATCGGTTTATCCGCGAAATTGGATTGCACCAAAAGACCTTAACGTTTCGGTGCGACAACGAACAGGGTCTGATATCCATGTGCGAGAGGGTCGCGGCGCAGAGGCGCGAGAACCCTACGATGGTAGATGTTGTGCCAGGATACCGTCCGCAGTCTAAAGGTGCTGTAGAAAGGCAGGTCTCTGCAATGAAGCAGGGATTTTGGTCGATATGGCTCGACCTAGAGGCGGAAGTAAAGCGTCGACGACCTGCTGAAGAAGGTGGTGCCGCTTGGCAGTTACCTTTAGGTGGAATGTTGTGGCAGACTTGTTTGCTGTATGCTGCACGCAGTGTCAACTTGTGGAACTTTGACAGCAACAACAGTACCACAGCAACAGACAGGTTGCACGAGGAAATAGTCCAAAGGACTAGGACGCTTCCCTTCGGTTGTTCTGCGCAGGCCAAAGTTGGCGGTTCCAAACGACATCTAGAAAAGTTCCGGGGAGCCAAGACGGTTCGAGTGAGCTATCTGGGCCCCGTCCATCCTAGAGGTGGAGGTGTGTATGGAACTGTCATTGGAGGAGATGGAGAGATTGAGGTCTTTCCAGCGTGTCGTGGGATCTTTGAACGGGACGAACCCACGTACGACAGCCCAACGTTGGAGCTGTTAGCTAAAGCTAATCCTCTTGTGCTTGATACGCAGGACCCCGAAAAGCCTTTGCTGTTTGAACCGCCTGCGGAACCCATTGTTCCAAAAGAAGAGGAAATCGAAGCCCCAGAGGACGAAGAAATGATCCCGGAATTTGTCCAGGACTACGAGCCCACGGAACTGGGCTCTGAGGGTCATGAGGGGGTAGCCGGGGGTGACCTCCCGGAGCCCGACATGGAGGACATGGAGATTGATTGGCTTATGGATCATCATCTTCAGAAGTTAGGTGAAGGACCTGACTGCCGCTGCTGGGAGCAGCCAAGCGGCGTCTTCCTTTGAGCTTAAGTTTGGAGGGAGTAGAAGTTGTTGTCAGGTCCCACAACAAGCCGTGTCAGAGACCTCTGGTGAGCGGTTATATCCCAAACTCCTCTACCTGTCCATAGTGCACATAGAGTTGATAGCTGTGTTTCTCCGACAACTAGTCGACGAGGAAAGATTGACGCTGGAGTATATACCGGGGAAACTCAACCCCGCAGATGCTCTAACGAAGTCTCCAGCTGCGGAGAATTTGGTCAGTCTTTGTGGGGCCGCTGGCCTCATTATCGAGCCAGAATCGTGGTCGTCGATATCCGAAGAAAACGTCAAAGAAGTAAGAAATGAGCCCAATATCACTGAGGAAGTATCTTCGAACGCAGTAAGGTCCTCTCCGCTGGAGGTTCCCAGCTCCAGAACGACGAGCGACACTGTTCCCTTAGCGAGAGCTTGTGCTCTAGAGAAAGGCATAGCGTACTGCGGAGTGACTCGGGAAATCAATCTTCTGAGTAGGAACATCTTTCTTGTCCTGAAAGAGGTCTTAAGAGTCCTGAAACAGGGAAAGGTCCGTGTCTTTGCGCCTTTGTCTACGCTTTGCAGCTCAGGCTGCCCCTTGAGGTACCTACGTTTTCGCAAGCGACGAGGTCTGGAACTTTGGCGGAAGACGATAAAGACCCACAAGAGTCACTGGAGACTAATAGGGAAGCTCTTTGGCCCCTATGCCTCGAACGAGGGTTTGCTGTTAACCCACGAATGGCCTGGGAGGTCCTCTTTGTGGAAGGAAACGGTATTTCTAGAAGTCTCTAAAGGCCTTGGTCTGACGCAAGGACGTCTAGTAGATAGGTGCTGCTTCGAGAAGAGAGAGAAGACTTGGAAGAGATGGTGGTTCGCTGCTAATAGTGCTGCCTGCGTTTGGGAGCTGTCTTTGTACGTTTGCGCAGGAAACCACGAACACTCGAAGAGTGCGTCTCTGAAGGAGTCTGGGACCTACCCGGAAGAGCTTGGAAAGGCTCTTGTCAGGATTGGAAAGAAGATCCTGAAGCAGGAGGAAAGAAAGGACTGACAGGAACTACCCCAGGACCATCTGTGCATGAGGGGGTGTGAAAAATTCACCTTGGCTCAAGGTCTCGGCTCAACCCCGGTGGGGTGCACAGGTAGCAGAGCGGTAGCTGTGTGAACCAGCCTCGAGTCCCCTAACTGCTTTGGGTACCAGGCCTGTTTTTCCACAGCCTTCATTTGAGCCATGTCCAGAGCACCTGTGCAGTCGAGATCCTCACTGCCAGCAAGTGATGGGTTGGAGTCATCTCACCCAACTTGCTCTGCAGAGAGCCAGAAAGAAGGCACGGCCCGACTGGAGGGCGAAGCAGCCCGGCTTGGGGAACTCTTCCCTTATGCGAGTCCTCTTACAGCCGGATGTGGAGTTTCTCCAGCCTTGGAAGACCAGGTAAGATGCTCGAGCAGCCTGGCAAATCCAGAGCGAACTTGGGCCCATAGAGCCAATTGTGGTCCCAGCCAAAGCAGGACTTTCCACCAAGCACTCTGTTTTCGCTGGCATCACAAGGGCCGGAAAGAGTGGCTGCTCCTCTCCGAGGACAGCAGCGTGTATTTTGTTCGCACCAGCAAATCCGGCAAAACAGTCCAAGCCGGACCCTGTGGGCAATGGAGATGCATGGAAGACCCAGCAGAGCTCCACGGGGGAACGGGAGGCGATCCGCCCGTGCAGTGGCTTCGCCTTTTGAACTTCAATTGCACTGGCTGTGGTAACATTCCAACCCATAACCTCAACTTCTTGCCCGGTCCTGGGAAAAGGCAACCAGCGATCTTGCATGGAGAGGATGGAAGACGCATCGAGCTCTACTGTGCCCTTTGTCTAGAAAGCTTCCTAGCGTGCACGTGGAGCTGGCCGAGTTTCGACCAAGCAGTTAGGAGACCGGTGTTTCTGGACTACGCTTCCCTTGCTGACTTGCGTCAGTTAGGTCACCAAGGTACGGAGCCCGTAGAACCTTTGCTGGCGCCGCTGTCTTCTGCAGCCAGCGCACATGGCTGGACCTTCCTTGAGGAAGGGTGTTCTCAGGATCTAGACTCCCCAGAAGAAGTAGGCAACAGTGATTGGCTAGTGTGTGGCTTTGAAGACTTGGAAGACGTCCCCTGGGAGGTCTGACCTAATCCGGCCCCAACCCACCCAAATTGCAGGAGCTATGCCCTGCCAGAATCAAGGGTGAGATGCTCACCCTCCGGAATCCCTTTGTCACGGGTGAAGCTTCTCCCCGTCCAATCAGCGACGGTCCTGTGAGTCCGTTCCCAAACTGAGAGTGCCATAGGGCACCACGGAGAATCTTGCATAGAATTGGATCTTTTAATGATCGCATAAGGTTGCAGGTTGTAAGAATGCAAGCAGAAGTGCTCAGTCCCGGCACGTACTCTGATCCATCCGTCGGAATATTTTCGCAGTTGTTCCGATGGACACCCTGCAGGACAGGTCGCCTCGATGCGGCTTTTGTTCAGCCTGACACCGGTTCGGCCCCTTTGCTCGGTCTGTGCAGCAGACCGCTGGATCGGGTTTTCGGGCTCAGGTGCTTGTGGGTCTTCCACAGGCCCAACACGGGGTTCTCGCAAACACAGCGCACGAAAGGATAACGTTAGAACCGCACCTGAAGATCCTCACTGGTTGATGAGGGGAGGGAGGGCGCTGAGGGGACTGGAATGGACAGGGAGACGCCGGACGAGGTTCCGGTAGCTGAGAACAAGCGGGTCTCCCACCCGATTGAGGTTTTAGGGCTTGCCGCCACTCACCCAGTTTGGGGTTACCCGTGTTTGGCCTGTCGAGGATTTCCTTTGAGTTTCCTGCAGGGTGCTGTTGTTTCTCTCCGGGTGGTGCAAGCCCATCTTGGAGAAAGCCTA